TCCCCTCAATGAACACCTCAGTAGATTGAAGTTATAAACAACGACGAATAAAGATTCTGAAGGGAAAATGGGAAAACACCAGAATACCTCATCACTGAGTGCGCCGAGACTACAACTGTAAAAACTAACCTCTGTCAAACCGTCTCCGATACTGGCTTTTGTTAAAGTCCTGTGACTGTATGATGAGTTATAACTCAAGAAAAGTGGACACAATAGATTCACAATAAGGCCACGGTGATTAACTTCTTCCCTCTCATACAATCTACACTCTAAAAATATATTGTTGGTATTTTTTGATTTGAATATTTGAAAAATCTGCGCTATCACATTGTACTATTTTTAATCAAAGTAAGGACAAAAATTATGTGCACTGGAACGTATAAAGTGCATGATTTATAAAATTTACAATAATGCAAATTATAAATAATATTTTTTTTAAATGGTGCTATAATAACGAGGTTTAAGAAACAAAAGAAATACTCAAGAAATATAAATGTTGTGTATAAAAATTTTTAAGAACATAAGAACAAGTTGGTTAAAAACTGCGTGCATTTACTATACATATTACATTATTTGTATAAAATATAGAATAAATAATAGAAAAAAATCTACTAATCTGTATATCCAGTTTTGATTTGCCCCGTATATACCTAAACAATATTGCAGAAAGTATTTTTGTTAAATATTAGTTTTAAAATATCCTCATCTTTATCTTTCATATACTATTGCAAATTTCGCACTACAATATACAGTTTAAAAATAAACAAATGTAATAATTTTTTAATATTATACGTAGATGTGAACAACCGATATATTAAAACCAGGTGAAAACAGTGTGACTGTTGTCTAATAATCGTTAATCCAGTATTTAAAATCAATTCTTCCGTATTCTTATGTTTTTTCTCTTCTGATCTTTAAGAAAAATTCTATAAAACTAGTTTCAGTAGATTGAATCGTTTAAGAAACCAGGTGTGCCACTCGATTGTACGATTGTATCTAAGAAAAAAAGAGAAAAACATAATATTGGGTAGATTAGCTAATCAGCAAATAAAACAAAATAGAAATTATATCTCTAGTTGCTTTTTATACAAAGGGCAACGGCCCAGCTACGTCGCAACACCGGTTCCCGATAGATCACCGAAGTTAAGCGACATTGGAAGATGCGAGGGGATGGACGGACGTGCTGTTGTTTCATGACAAGAGTGTAAAATCTATTGACATACGTTGTTCTTTCATACCGGTTTGAGGTCGGATACCTTGTGAGTAAGAGTCGATTTCTTCCCCTAGGAGATGCAAGACCTTGTCGTTGGTGGAGAAGCTCCTGGTCAGGTGCTGGGGGGAATCCCCTCTAGCACTTGGCTTGGTCTAAGAAGCATCTCACTCATCGTCTTGTCCCTGACTGTAGTGTCGTGGCCAGGGAATTGCACCAAGACATATAACGATACTGGACGGGGCTACGGACAGCCTCAACCTTGGGGCACCCCATTGTATTTTACCCCTTACTTCTACATGCGGGCTCTGTAAAAGTGGACCGACTGTCCCTAGCGACTCATAGGAACACTATGAGATCTGGTAATAATAGTAATAAAAACATCACCGGTGAAGCTGTGGGGAAACCCCCTAGTGACACTGGGAACAGTAACAATGAAAGTTCCAAGGGGCCAAACCCAAAGAGAACTACAGGAGAGGTGGCTGACACTTGCGTGAGACCATCCTCCGCAAGTGGCATACAAGCTACCACCTCCTCCAAGGGTCGGGAGCCTACCTCCTACCTCTAAACCCAACAGGCGACACAAGCTCGTTTTTTCTACCGTTTTGTCTACCCGGCCTGGGTCGTAGCTCCTCGACTGTGAGGGACACGGGTCTCCGTAGGAAGTCCTGGGACTGTATGATGAGTTATAACTCAAGAAAGGGGGACACAATAGATCTCTAAGGTCGCAGAGATTAACCCCCCTCCCACTTATTCTAAAGAGTCGATTTAGACACTGGCCAAGTCGGTAGACTATTGTTGATGATATGGTTTAAGACAGCGGTTCGAATTCCGCGTAAACAAAGTAGACCCCGCCCAGGTTAGCCTTAGCAGCAAAAGCGGCGCGTTGTAGAATGTGGAATGAGCAAAATATGTTAATCACCGCTACATTAAAAATCTATTGTGTCCCCCTTTCTTGAGTTAGAACTCATCATACATGGGGATCTTTCTGTTGTAGAGGGAACAAGGTATTTCCCATCCTCCTCTGCCAACAGATGTTCGTCCATCGAGGAGTGGGTATCTACCTCCTACGAGGGTATATACACCCTTCCACGGTTGGGGTTTAGCCCTCCGTGCCCTTCATAATCGAGAAGCTTGTCTTCGGTTGAGGAATCCGCAGTGGCGGATATAGAGGGGGGCCCATGGGGCCCGGGCCCCCCCTAAAATCTATAAATTGTGTCAAATATTAGGCTTTAGGGTTAAAAATCAGGTCCTAAAAAGCATATTCTACATTACTTTTATTTTGGGGCCTCCCCTAAAATAAATTCCTGTATCCGCCCCTGGGAATCCGTGAAGTGGAGGCTGGTGGATCTGTCTCCATTTTCTCCACCTCTTTCACTTGGTTTCTCCTTAGACCTGATACCGGTATTGTCCCGAATCTATAGAGGATATACAATACAAATCCCTCTTTCTCTATTGCCTCCTTGGATTTGAGGTCAATTACACCGCAAGGGTTAGTCGGTCCACTTCTATAGAGCCCCGCATGTAGAAGAAAGACGAGAATACATTTGGTTGCCCATTACAATAATGGCACAAAAAGTGATAATTCTATTAAATAGAGTATTGTTCAGGATGATTATTATAAAGATTTTCAAAATTCATATTATTCTAAAAGAAAGCAAAGTTCCACAAGCAGCCCTGTGCACAGAATCGAATTACAGAGTATAATAATTAAACGAGATATACTTAATAAAATTTATAAAATAGGATTCAAATTGTTTTGGTCTAAACATAATAAAATTTTTACATTAATAATTATGGATTTTGTATAGGAAAATATGGGGTATTTTTATTAAAGCCTAAATTATTCAATATGCTTATGCTCATACCTGACTAAACTTTGATCACTTTTTAATCTATCTGACCTCGATTTCTAGATTTGGCATCTTGTAAAATGAGTGAAAACAGGCAGTGTCATTGTTTAATATGCCAAATTTTGATTAGGCCTTTTGCAAAATTACTGAAAATATTATAGACCTAGCTATTTTTGTAAAAATTCCTTCTTCTGTGTAAAAAGCCGGCGTTTCATAATATACCTAGTCTTTTTGTTTTGACATACACACAGACCATCTACCTTATAAACTAATAATATACAGGTGTGCTTCAAATTAATAGCCTGTTCGCTTCCCTTCATTTTCTAACGAATTAATTAATAACGCTACCCCAAACCGATAAAATCTTTCCGTTTTGACATTTAGAACCAAACCGTATCTGCCGGTGGTATACTGAACTATAACATTTCGACGATTTTTGCTCGTTATTTGAAATTTATATGTAAACAACGGCTTTCACTCCGAGGACTGTATCGATACCCCTTCGATTCTAAATGACTTGGAATTACGTAAAAAATCATTTAAATTAGTTAGATTGATTAGTTTGAACATTTAATACCTTAAAAAATAAGTAGAGTAGGTTGTAGATTATAGCGGAGGTACTCGCGACCTTATACAGGGTGTTTCAAAAAATATGTGCCATCTTTCGTGGGGAGATTCCTGACGTAAAAATAAGATTTATTTTTCATATCAACATAGGTCCGATCAGTGGCGGATACAGTGGGGGGGCCCATGGGGCCCGGTGATTGATTGAGTATTCGAATTGTTTTCTGTCACTTCCTGTTTCACCGGAAATGACTACAATTTTTCTATTTTTAAATGGCACCCTCGGTATTTTTTTTTTACTTTATTTGATAGAAAATGACATTCTAAATAGAATGACGTATCATATGTCAACTTTTGACATATTCGCTTAAAAACATATTGTATTTTAAATTTCAATCTAGAGTGTCATGGCTGTGTTAAAAACACTAATTTTTAATCAAGGAGCCTTGGAAAAATATATTTGATCGTCTAATGTTTTTAGTGTCTTGCCCTGGCCGGTTAAAACATGCCAAAGTCGTATTTTTGATCATATCTCAACTTTTTTTCAAATGGAACGAGGGTGGCTCATTAGCATATTTCGAAAAAGAATTTTTTTACGAATAATTTGAAACCACACACTTGGTACTTCGAGTCAAATTGTCGTTATGAACCGCATATTACAATTTCAAATAAACCAAATGCGAAAATGCCAAAAGTTGACATGTGATATGTCATTCTATTCAGAGAGTCATTTTCTACCGAATAAAGTAAAAAAATATCGAGGATGCGATTTAAAAATCAAAAGGTGCAGTCATTTCCGGTGAAACCGGAAGTGACCGAAAAAAATTGAATATGTCAATCAGTCCTAATTTATGTCATATACTAACATACCAAATCTCGTTGTTTTATCTGAAAAAATAAAAAAGTTATAGGGTGAGCCACTTTTGACCAAATTATAATAAATCAAAAGACTATTAAGACTTTAACACCCTGTAGCTACACGAAACAAAGCAGAATCGGGCTTATGTTGAGATGAAAAATAAGTCTTATTTTTACATGAGGAATCTCCCCACGATAAATGGCACATGTTTTTGAAACACCCTGAATAGCTGCATTTTTAATAAGTATTTCTTTAGTTTAGATTCTAGATTTTCCATTCTGGGGGTTCCCAGGATCCCGGAATTACAGGTCCTTGTCCCGGGATTTCAAAACAGGGTCCCGATCCCGAAAATTGAAAACACTAGTGGTGGCTTTAAGATTGGAAGCATAAACCAGCGAAGAAGTTCGAGTCATTTTCTTTTATAAAGTTATCGGTAAAAAATCACCCAGCAGAAAAATTACTTTCACTTGTCCAAATTTAAATCCATTTTCATATTCAAATACGAAACAGAAGAATGCATACAATTACCAGACCATTTCCTAGACTAGAAAAACCTATAATACACCAAAATAACGAGGAAGTAACAATTGGCGAAAGTGACAAGTGACATCCACGCACGGGACGCAGAACTCTTCAACCGTTGACGCTTCGATAAACGACAAAGCATAATAATTCAACCAAATAGTCTATAAAAGAAATTGAACGTTTGGTGTAATAAGTAGTATTCATTCTAATTTGGTCGTAGCTAACTTATGATTATATCGAAGTTATTGGCGAATAAAAAGAAATGGTATCATGATCGATCAGTGTTGTTTTCGTGTAGACACCTGCACACGAACACGTAATGCAGTTTCTTGTAAGTGAATTTTTGTTGGTTTGTGTTTGATTTTGCGAGCAATCGAAGATAGACGTTTAATTAAAGCTTGATTGATTGATTCGTGGTGAGATTTTAATTGAGTTTCTTACAGTGATATGCAAAATCGGTTTGGTAGTGATCTACACGTAACGATATGTAATCTAACATGGACGTAGCTTAGGGTTGTGAACTTTCAAAATAAAAAAGAGAAGACGAGGGGGTTAAAAAGAGGTACATCGAAAAAATTTGTTGAAACCTCGTCCAAATCTCTAGAATTGACCAAAAAGTTATGTCAACGGTATGCGATTGATAGTATTTCTTACTTTCGTAACAATATTTATACTCAAAACTTCTTAAATTAAATCAAACAATCAGTAAACATGTAGTCACATAACAGTTAAACATGTTTATCGTTTCCACAAACCACAAATATTTCTTGTACATCAATATTTCTTCATTTTTCTGTACCAACGAGTGGGATTAGCGAAAGACACAGATTAACAATTTTTTAAAACATTGTGGCGATAGACAAATATTTTTTAGATTTTGAGTTTGGTATGTAAAAAAGAGGACGTTTTCAATACGTGAGAGAAAAAGAGGACAGTGAGATCAAAAAGAGGACTGTCCTCTATATAGAATAGAGGACCGTTGGCAACCCTAGCGTAGCTAGGTTTTGATTTAGGGTGTGGCAAAAAAATTACAAAAGTCAGTACCTACCAAAAAGTCTGCTTTTACTTTCCTCAACAAAACAGTAACTTCAAACCTTGACAAAATTTCGATTTCATCGTATGTAAATGAAGAAATTCTCTATACCGGGTATTTCTCAAAAGTGGCTCACCCCTATAACTCTTCATCACTCTTCATCACGCCCGGCCCTCGATCTTTTTTTACTTTATTCGATAGAAAATGCTCTCACTCTCAACAGAATGACATACCGTATGTCAACTTTGGATATTTTTGCATATTATAGTTTATTTGAAATTCTAACATGCGGCTCATAACGACAATTTAACTCGAAATACCAAGTGTGCGGTACCAAATTATTCGTGAAAAAAAATATTTTTCCAAATATGCTAATAAGCCACTATCGTTCCATTTGAAAAAAATGTGATATGAACGATCATGTTTTTATTTTTCCAAGGATCCTTGGTTTTCCTAGTGTTTTTAACTTAGCCATTCTGGATTGAAATTTAAAATACGATTTCTTTTGAAGCGAAAATGTCAAAAGTTGACATGTGATATGTTGACATGTTCTATTCATATGTCATTCTATTCAGAGTCATTTTCTATCGAATAAATTAAAAAAATACAGAGTGTGCTATTTAAAAATCAAAAGTTGTAGTCGTTTCCGGTGAAACAAGAAGTGACCGAAAACAATTGAATACGTCAATCAATCCTGATTTATGTGATATACTAATAAAGCAAATATCGTTCTTTTATCTGGAAAAATAAAAAAGTTATAGGGGTGAGCCACTCTTTAGAAACACTCGGTATTTATAACGAAGTGTGTTGACTATCGTTTTTATTATTTTTGAGATATTAAAAATCTTTCATATCTTCTTCAGAATCAATCATTTAATATATGAAACGCTCCGGTTAACTGTTTTAATTTTTAAAAAATGTCAAAATACTCGTATGTCTCAAGCCTTATATTTTAATCATATACTTCTCTAAAAAACTCACCTTCTAGAATCCGAAAAACAATTAACAGATAGGGTGTTACATTATAAAAAACACAACTTGGATATGTAACTTTTTTTTGGGGGACACCCTGTAGAATTCTATATATTTTTAATACATGGTCTAAGTTGAAAGCAAAAGCTATAAGTTAAACAAGGGTTAAACCTACATACGCTCACAGATTTTCGTTTCAATACAAACTATCGTTCTCCTTGGAGCCTACGCGTGGTAGAAGAGGCGCCACCCTGTATCTAGTTAAACCTGAAATAAACTGCAAACTCAAATAGGTGCCTCATAAGTGCAAAATTACAAATATTTCCTATATTTTAAATAGAAATATTGTATAATAATGTCTTCTTTAAAACTATGAATCTAATCTTACTAAATTTTTCTAAAAATAATTTAAATGGTTTACATTTTACATCGCTGCTTAATTTGAATTTGTTTCAGGTTTTAATCACACTTTGTACCCTAACATCCGCAACCTTCGACAAATTATTCAAACCCCGAAAAGCCCACAAGAAATTCATCAACCCTCTCATAGATGTCGCACTCAAAGGCGTCACCATCTTGGATCCTTTCCTCGACGACTTTGACGACGATCACGATGAAGAATACATACACAAACATCGAAAAAAACATATCGGAGGGCACAAAAGACCTACGGTAATATATGTTCACAGAGACCATCCGGATCATCATCATCACCATGAGGATCATCATGAAATCCATGAAATACATCACGGACATCACCATCATCACGACGGACATCATCATCACGATGATGCCCATCATCATGGGCATGATCACCATGATCATCACCATCATGATCATCATCATGACGATCCCCATCACCATGATCACCATGTTCATCATCACCACGATGCTCATCATCATGAGCATCATCACCACGATCCTCACCACCACGATCATCATCATCATGATGACCACCATCATGACCATCATCATCATGACGATCACCATCACGGTCACCATCATCATGACGATCACCATCATAATCATCACCACCATGATGAACATCATCATGATCATGATCATCATGACGATCACCATCACAGTCACCATTATCATGACGATCACCATCATGATCATCATCATCACGATTCTCACCATCACGGTCATCATCATCTCGATGATCACCATCACGGTCATCATCATCTCGGTGATCACCATCACGGACATCATCACCACCATCATGGACATCATCATCCTCACCATCACGGACTTCATCATCATCACGGACATCATCTTCATCACGATCTTCATCATCACGGACATCATCTTCATCACGATCTTCATCATCACGGGCATCATATACATCACCTCCACGAACCGCATCATCACGGGCATCACGTACATCACCTTCACGAGTCTCATCATCACGGGCATCACATACATCACCTTCACGAGCCTCCTCACCACGAAGTGCTTCACCATCATCATCTTACCGAAGTACATCCAGTTGTTCATCATGAAGATCATATTGAGACTGTTCATCATCACGAATCTTTGGGCTTGGTGCATCATGACCCTGTTCATCATGAAACTGTGCATGATGCCGGTCATTTGCATCATTCAATTGAACTGTTCACTCCTGCTGAATCTCATGGGCATATTGGAGAGATTGGAGGTTTGGAGGTAGGCAGCGGAATTGGGGTATTGAGTGGAGGGCTTCATACTTTACGTTAACGCCACAAATTTATGTAAAATATAGTGTGGCGGTCAGCGTTATGATTGCGTTTTTTTTGTAATTTGTTAATATACATATTGTTTTTAAAAATTATTTGTTGTTTTATTTAAACATATTTATTCAAAAGAATTTACCGACCAACAATCAGATCATTGCATAAAACTCCATTTCATTGTTTTTATCGAATAAATTTGAAACGGCAATTTAAAATACAGGGTGTCCCAATATTACGTGGATATAGAACTACTACGTATTCCCGGAATCTAAATAAATTCATTGGATACAATTTGGCTCTATACACTTTTATATAAAAGTGCTTTTTATCCGCTAGGGGGCATAAAAGTTTAAAAAAATAAACACTTTTTTAAAAAACGGCGTCAGCGATGGCTATGAAATGAACATCGCTGTTATTTTATATGTAAAAGTAGTATTTTATATGTAAATTATATAGGGAATGTCATCGACTATCGACGTTCATTTCCAAGCCAACTGGACACCGTTTTCTTTTCGATCATACGGTATATAACAGTTGTAAATATAGTAAATAAATATCATATTTGTATACTTACCTATAAAACAGTATATTATCCTCCTCTAACAACAGAAATATTATAAACACACCACCATTTACAAAATATAATTTAGAACAATATTTAAATTTTACAATATTATTCAACTCCGCTTATAAAATGAATTCCTCGCTATCTATAAACAAAGATTATAAAATGTATTAATCTTTGCTATAGATTTACTTAAATATAGAAGAAAAATCTATTTGTCTGTTTCTTTCTAAAAATATATCAAAAACGCGCCCAAAATATGTAAATAAAGAACACCCTGTGTAGATATTAAAAAAAATTGGTGAATATCAAAAAGCGCTACTTACCAGATCATCTTTACTATATTTTTCGTGTCTTAAGTATTGTTGCAAAAGAACTATACATACTGATAAATTCGCATCAGTTTCCTACAACATTAAACAATTTTTTTATTATTATTATAAATTAAAACGAATCAAAGTTGCCACAAAAACAAACAACCGAAAACTTTGATTTTCGAATTTTAAACAAAATTTTCTAAGTTACCTTCAGTTTTTCCTGCAAAACCCATAGTTTTTCCTCGATTGTGCTCGCCATCGTATACGCGCTTACAAACAGAGGGTTGAATAATTTAAAGAAGAAACGGGGCATTAAACTGTCGCGTGTCAACGGAAAACCAAAATCAAAAATATCGATTATTTCATAAATCAGAATCATAATAGTGAATACATGCGATCGAGAGGCATTCGCGCTTGGTAAAAAAACTAAATACTTTTAAATTTTAGAGTAATTTATATATCTATGCTTCCAAATTGGTTATATTTAATAAATTCTTTTAATTCTGTAAGGAAAAATAATTTAAAATTATTTTTTGAATTTAAAACAGGAAAAGGTTAGATAACCAGCAATACATTAAGATTGAGCGCCATCTATCGGAAATATTGCAAAATACACTTGAAATAACGCCTAATCTGCCATCTAGGACACAGTAGATTTATTATTCTTATTAATTTTTGTAGAAAGATTACTGTTACGTGATTACGTCCAAATTTCACGTTTTGTGTGACATTTGACATTTGACATTTTAAAAGTAAATAAAAAAAGTATTTTAAAAGTAAACAAAGTAAATTTTATTTCTACCTATTCTCTGGTTTCTGCTAATATATTTTCTTTATATTATGAGAGATAATTATACGTAACTTTTTACAACATATTTAACGAAATATGTACCTATATTAAATTATATTTAATTATCATGGTGAAATAGCCTAGAATTGCAATTATTTTTATAGAAGAATTTGAATAAAATGTTCAGCAAAATGAAAGAAGTCGATGAAGGAGCTGCTGAATTAGAGTCGCAATTTGTTCTAAGATTGCCAATTGTAAGTAAAAAAACAATAATAGGTATATTAAGTTGTATTTTTACTACCCAACGCACATTCTGTGTCTAGGAACCAGCTAAAGTTTTAAAAGAAGCCCTACGTAACTGCGAGAATTTAAAAGACCGATTCAACATCAAAATCGAAGAAAACATGAGGCATGCCGAGGTGAGACTGGATCACTGGCTGCTACCTGGCAAAATTGTCGATTTACCCACTATTATCGAGTCATTGAAAACTATCGATTCTAAAAGCTTTTACAAAACTGCCGATATATGCCAGATGTTACTGTGCAAAGAGGAGGATGATCAAAAATCTGATGATGAGAGTCCACAGAAAAAGAAGAAAGGTAGGCAAGTAGCAAAATAGGCTACAACTTCACCAATTTTGGTGTTATTTTTTTTTAATGGAAAGCTATAGCTATATTTTTTTTAATAGAAACTAGTTAATATTAAATACAGATAATTTTAGATCCGTACAAGGTTGATAAAAAGTATCTCTGGCCTCATGGTGTAACCCCACCAGCTAAAAATGTTAGACGGAGAAGATTTAGGAAAACTTTAAAGAAAAAGTATGTTGAAGCTCCGGAAATTGAAAAAGAAGTAAAAAGGTTGCTCAGAGTGGACAATGATGCTGTAAGATTGTTACTGTTGAAATATTTTAAGAGAGAGTTGCTATAAATGATTTTAGGTTAGTGTAAAGTGGGAAGTAATCAACGAGGATGATGAGAATAAAGTCAACAAAGGCACAGTTGTTATAAAGAAAGAAATAGTGGATCCAGAGCAGCCAAAGGTTGCAGAACATGATATTTTTGGTGGTGATGTGAGTGATTCGGATGATGAAGAAGCTCATCTTAATGTTCTGGATGTTATTGATGATAACAGTCAAAATTCTGGTGACGATAGTCATTTAACAGACTCAAATTCCGTCCTGGTATGTTAATACTGTCACAGACTTATATATTTCACGCTAGCTTTTATTGATTTTCCTGTATTTATTTTATATTTTTCTAGAACACATCAATAGATCAGAAGCAACTCATTACAGAGTTTACTAGTGACATGTTCGAGGCTACACCAACTATGCTTCAGGACGTTGACTACTATGGTCAATCATCATCAAATATAAGTTATTCTGAGCCCAATCTTACCAAAGGTAATTAATAAATCTTGAAATAGTAAACAAAATAATACAATTTTCTTATTCTAGCAACTGTGGAGACAAAACTAGAAGCACTAAACTTAGAACTAAATGATATCAAGTCTAAAAGAATTCAGCAAGAAATTAAGATTGAGAATATCGAGAACATAGCTTTGAGGCAACGGTTCCAAGAGAACGTTGAAAGGCTGATGCAGGATCAAATTGAAAAGGAACACGACATATACGAAATGCAAGAAATATTAAAGCAATTTGAGTCTACTTCATTTTAAAATTTAAGAAAAAAAAATACATTAGTAAGAAAAAATAAATTTAGTTATATTTTTTAATAACTAGTACATTTAGAGACCATAGCTTTAGTTATAATAATTAATGGTGCTGGAATCAGGGGTGGATAAGTAAAAAACGTAATGTAAAAATATAAACGTGTAAATACCCATCCCTGCCTTGATTCTACCAAGAAATTAATTTATTACCCACTATTTTACTTAAAAGAAACATTTATTTTAATTTTACCTTTGTTATACACCTTTTTATTTTTATGTTGTCAACTTTATATTGTACTAAATGAAGGAAAATAAAAGAAATGAGTCAAATCACATTGTTTTATTTATTATTATTAAATTAATATAGGCAACCAAAAAAATATAATGAAAATTATATTAACAATAAAGTATTTACAAAAAAATGCATATATGTATGAATCTTCTTAAGAAAATGATGCAAATATCCCCAGTATATTACCTAAACTTAAACAGTACAATCTTAAAATAAATAATCACGATAATTAATAATTTTTTTACACGCTAGGATACAATTTTATACAAAATACATCATTTTTCTTAAGAATTCTAGTGACATACTTTAATAAATTATTGAGAAAAAATTGAGCTAAGAGAGGAATCAAATCTAATAGGAAAAAACGATTTTCCTAAAAAGTATTTTTTTTATTTCATAATATAATAGGTTGATTGAATATTATTTAATTTATTTTATACACTCGTATTTTGTGTCCAGGATAGTTCAAATTGAATGCAAAGTATACTATACGATCAAAAAAAAAACGGCGTCAGAGATAGCTTTGAAATGAAGAGGGCTATCTTTTGTATGTAAAGTTATATGGGGAATGTCATCGATCGTCATTGACGCCGTTTTTTGATCATGCGTTGTATTTACCTATCTTCAAGTAGATAACACAATTTGTTTAAAACAATTTAATTTCTTATAATTAAAAATAAAAAAAACCGGTGTCATAGTGGGCCGTGACACGAAGATCTCTCATTTTATTTGTAATAATATATGGCGAATATCCTAGATCGCTATTTCAAAGTCGTTTAAAACTATTTAATTTCCCACATTTTAACATAAAGAAACATACCGTACAAATAAAAAAACGCTGTCATAGTTACCTTCGAAATGAAGATCGCGGCAATTTTACATGTAAAATCCTGTATCACCATTTTAAGGTCAATTTGGCGCCGTTTTTTTTTCGATCATACGGTATATTCACATATCTACATGTAGATAACACAATTGATTAAAAAAATATACAAACGAAAAAAAAACGGCGTCAGAGTTAACTTGGAAATGAAGGGCGCTGTCATTTTTTTGGTAAAATTGTATGGTAAATGTCATCGATTGTAATTTCAAGTCAACTTGAAGCCGTTTTTTTTTCAATCATACGGTAGGTATCTATTTTTATTAAAATCGTTATAATAAAATAATCTTAAAATGTTATGACACAAAAGGAACATAGGATTTAAAATGCCAAAAAAACTGCATCCAGTAGCCTTTGAAATGACAATCGCTGATTTTATTTAAAATTTAGTCATATTGATTTCAAGCCAACTTATCGCCGTTTTTTTCTGATCATACGATATATCTAATCCATAAAACAGCAAAAAAATGGCATATGAGTTGGCTTGGAAATGAAAATGACTCATTTTATATGTAAAGTTACATGAGGAATGTCATGGATTGACATTTCTAAGCCAACTTGACGTCGTTTTTTTTCAATCATACAATATATATTTTTATTAAAATTATGATAAAGAAATTTAATAAAATATTTTAAAAATATTATGACACAAAAGTACCATAGGGTCGAAAAAAAAACAGCGTCATGGTAGCCTCTAAAATCGTCCTTATAGGTTATTTATTAAAAATTTAGATAAAAATGTTAAAAATTGATACTTAAAAGATCCACCATTTGATTATAAAAATAATTTCATTGAACTATCCCGAATTTCCAATTAATAAAAATCAGTACGTCACAATTATTGAACACTTACAAGGTCAAAAAAAATCACTCATTACCATTCTTAGGTAGGTTCTTGTCTTCAAAATATAAAAAAAACATTCATTAAATAATATATTATCTCAGTTATTCGATTTCTTTAAAAATAGATATCAACTTTCATATTTCTTGTTTCAAGCAACATAAAAAAGAAAAATAAATAATTCCTTTCTGCTTGATACTCGCTTTTCAAAGAATAATTTATAGAACCATTTGTGATAAATAGACGAGTTTAATATGTCAATTTCCATATAAAATACATAATTATCACTAACTGCTATTATACAGAGTCCTTAAGTCTGGAACGATATCCTTTTGTTCTTTTTTATTTATGATAATCTGGGGTAAATTGTTTATTTTGACTTCTTTTTTGAACAGCTGCCCCACACTTTTACCGATAAGCTGAAAAAAAGGAAAATAAATAAACAAATATTCAAAAAACTATGGGCTATGGATCTTACATTTCCTGTAATTTTCTTGAACAAATCTTTTTTGACTTTTTCTATTCTATTTCCTTTACTGGTACTTCCCGAAATTCTTTCGTCTAATTTTTGAAGATCTACAGGGTTAACGCCTGGTATCTGTTGCATAACCTACAATATTTGTTGATTAAACAATACTCGGTGTTAGCAGTTTATTATTAAAAATATCATATATATAAATTATATATGATATTGTTGCGAGCCGGTGTGGACTCGACCTAACCTCACAATATGGCCCGCCCTCGGATCACCTTAACATCGCATAGACACCGCAATGATTCATTCGTTCGAGAAGAATCGAGACCCACTAGAATGGACTCGTACATACGAGAACATTCGAAAACCTTCTCTATGCGCCTAACGATCTTTGGACTATTCTAGATTCTTTTACCTGTCGGTATAAAAGCCGGCGGCAGTGGCCTAGAGAGGGCAGTTATAAATATACAGTTGACGCGCTAAAATTCAAAATAAATTCTTAGTTATAAATCGTTTGTAAATAGTTCTATAAGTCGTTTATCGTTATTAGTTTTGTTAATTAGTGCTAAATAAATAGTGTTTAAATAAATTGTGACTTTCTATCCACACGGAACCGACGAAAAACGTAACAATATAATAAAACTTATATATGCTCGTCATATATAATTTATATGATATGTTTATATATGATCATATATAATTTATAAATAATATACAATTTATATATTCCGCGCCACAAGAGCTAGTAGAATATGAAGGTGTGTACTACTTACGCGAAGAACTTCAATGAAAGATGGCCTTAACAATTCATAGATCTGTGCACCGAGAGTCAGTAAAGAACCCTGATTAGCCTCGTGCTGTCCATGCAGAATCAGCGCATTCAAAACGGCAGCCATAATATGCGTTGCCATTTCACCATTCAATGACGCATCTATGGTAAGCTGCAACACATAAATGTATTAATAAAAGTACACAAAAGAATCAAAATTTAGGAAAAAAAATAAAAAATATTTTTTATCACTTACCTGTCGAACAATTGGACCTGTCAATAACGTCGCCTTCAACGAAGCGTTGCTGTCAATCCAACTGAGACCGCCTAAAACTGCCAGGACTATAGACTGACAAGTCTTATCACTTCTCAAGAGAATTAAACCTTGAAATAATTTAAAAAAAAAAAACGTTAAAGATAAACCTAAATTATTTTACCGGAAAAAATACCTAAATCGGAAATAACTTCCGACGTCAAATTAGATCTAGTAGGCGGTGGAGTGGGGGAATTACTTAGTTCCTCGGTTTCCATCGTTTCCGAGTTACTTTCTGGGGTTAGACTGCCTCCAACAAGAGCAACCTGAAGTTGGTATAGTATAAAATATATATTTTTCAATGTTTTATTTCTTTACACCACTGTATATTATTACTGTCGACGTCAGGGTTGCTTAGAAAACGGCGTCAGCGACGGCTATGAAATTAAGATCGCTGTTATTTTATATGCAAAATGATACTAGCCTTGGTCACTTTATTTCCGTGGTGTATACTTTAATGCATAAAATTGAAATAAATATACAGGGTTGTTCACCACTACAACACGGAGTATTGTAGCTAAACGATGAGATTTTTACAAATTGTAAGTTTGGGGTTCGTTGAAGGACTGTTAGAGCTACAATTTAAAAATATTTTTACAAGATACAGAGTGTCCCAAATAAATAAAAAATATCAAAGATGTATTTTTTTAAATGGAACACCCTGTATATTATTACATTTTTAGTTTCTACGATTAAAATAAAGGTAAATTTGATTAAGGTTTATTATACTTAAACATTACGTTTTTGAAATATTTTCAATTTTGTGAAATTGCAGTAAAAATTTTAAAGCTTTATTTCTCCAAGGGTATCAATGTTTTTAATACTAAATATTTAATGAAGTTTATTTATTGATCAGTTATTGTGTTGCAATAATAAAAATAATACTACTTTATAGAGAGTGTCTAAAAATTTACTTTAAATAATTATTAACTTCAAACGGCAACAACTTCTTTAATTTAAATAGAATGCCCTGTATATTTTAGGAGAATCAGATGCACAATTAAATTGTCTATCAAATTGCATTATACCATTTTTTACCTATCCCTTCAAGTTTTCGTAGAAAATGCATTTTCTTATAATTTAGACCTCATTTATCAATATATCCATGGAATATTGACATTTTAGATTGTTTTTAAAGCAACAAATGTACAAAATGTACAGACTAGTAATATTATCGTTTTTAGCAAAACGATAATATTACTAGCCCATTTGTATGCAAAAAAAACTATTTAAATCTTTATAAAAGAGTATACCATTAATTAAATATAACAGAATTATTTCCGCCCATATACTAATTAATGACATACTTAATTGTGTTCGTTAATAAATTATTATAAATAAATGTGGATTTTTGAGTCAGAACTCAATATTATAATAATAAGTTATCAAATTAAAGTCTTTGTTATTATAAATAAGCATTTATTAAAAAATGAAATATCATTTTTAAGGTGTTACTTTTTATCACACTGTCTAATGCCCATACAAAATTCAGTTTTTTAATATTTGGAGCAATTATTATTAATCAACGCAAACAGTCAGTTAATGTAGTTTGAATACTGGAATCATATTAATTGATCCTCTTTAACAAATATTTAAACAGTTTTTTTTTATTTTTTAATGAAATAAACGAATTATATCGACAATATTACTATCTGTACTCTTTAAAAATTTGGTACATCTTTAAAAATAATCTAAAATGTCAATAGTCCATGGGTATATTGATAAATAAGTTCTAAATTACAAGAAAATGCATTTTCTACGGAAACTTAAACAGATAGGTAAAAAATGGTATAATATAATTTGATAGACAATTAAATTGTGCATCTGATTCTCGTAAAATATACAGTCTATTTAAATTAAACAAGTTATTACCGTTTGAAGCTAATAATTATTTAAAATAAATTTTTAGACACTCTGTATAAGGTAGTATTATTTTTATTATTGCAACACAATAACTGATCAGTAAATAAACCAGTAAATATTTAGTATTAAAAACTTTGATACCCTTGGAGAAATGAAGCCTTAAAATTTTTACTGCAATTTCACAAAATTGAAAATATTTCAAAAACGGTAAGGTTTAAGTATAATAAATCTTAATCAAATTTACCTTTATTTTAATCGTAGAAACTAAAAATGTAATAATATACAGGGTGTTCCATTTAAAAAAATACAACTTTGATATTTTTTACTTATTTGGGACACTCTGTATCTTGAAATTTTAAAAAAGTAAAAAAATTACCTGAAAGTGTGTTTTCATAACAGTAATACTTCCATAAAATTTCATTAGTCTATCTCTTTTCGTTTTCAAGATAAAAAATAAAAACATTATTTTTCCGCCATCTTTGTACCGCGATATCTGCCTAATGGTTGACTTTTGACCCAACGTTTATAAAGCAAACTACCCTTTATTTTGAACAAGGAATCACCCCCTAAAGTTTTTCGCATTTGTTTTGAAACACCCTGTATATTTTACGCTAGATTGACTACAGAACAAAATTTTCAATTTATAAGATTTTTTCTTCCTACCTTAAGAACATCCAAGTATTCTCTTGTCAAAGCTCGCGTCAAAAAGTCTTCTAAAACCTCCTGAGTGTCGGCGTTGTCTTCTTGCACTTCTCTATTGCGAAATTCGATGACCCGTTGCCAATTTTCATGTAACCTATTTAATACTAATGAAAAAGAAACAGATCATTATCGAGAATCACCAAGAAATTACCTAGAATAATCATTATCAAGAAATTACCATATAATCACAATAAAGTCTGTCAAACGAGTAAGAAAAGATTTTGACAGACAACAATTTTTCTATCACTTAACAAAAGACAGTCAAAGATGCAGTGGGTCTACTACTAACTAACAGGGTAAGCTTAATAGTCATCTAAAGCTGACTATGGAAAAATAGTATAATATCTAGATAAATTAATTATAAAAAATAATATTTCCACTAATAATAAAGAATCTTTAGTGTTTCTTTTATTAATTTTTATTAATGTGAATTTTTATATAGTAGAGGCAAAAATATTTAAGGTACTTACATATCGGACTAATATGGGCTAAAACAGGAAGCAACACCACCTCGTAGTACGGGGCTGGACAAGAGAACACAAACGACTTCATAAATACTCTTATTATAGGCCTCAGTCTATAGTCTGGCACATACTACAACAAATAAAAATAAAGATTTTTTTTAAATGCTATACAAGACAAATATTTACTTGTAAATATGCCAAAACGCTATTGGTTATCGCTAAAGCTAAATCGGAAATATTGTACAAATCTCTGCCCAAGGAGGGGCCCATCGAACCAATCATGTGATAGCAGCTTTCGTGTAGGGTCGTTAGAAACCGCTGCATCCTTTCTAGAGGGCTTTGGATTCCTAAATTGTCACCACAGTCAGAAGAATGTCCTGTAAATAAAAGCAAAAAAAGAAATAATTAATGTATCATATATAGTTTATATAAATATTTTTATTCTATAGTCTGCACAACGATCTTTTAACGTTACGTCATCATCATTGTGTCTAACCAATAAAATTTTATATATTTTTTTTTTCATTTGAATTGGAATATTTGGTTAAATAATAGTTGTACAAACTATAGTAAGGTATTATTAAAATAACTCACCTATTAATCCTAATAAATTCGATTTTTCTGTTTCAGGCATGGCAAGGCATCCTTTGTAACTGTCATGGATCAGGCTCTGAGCCTCTGGAGTGAACAGCTCATTGAATATTTTAATTAAGGAGAGTATATGGGGTAAAAGAGGAACTACGTGAGGTGCTGCGGGATTCCGGCATACCGGGTTACCGGATTCTGTCAAAGATACCACGAAACCACCTAGAAAAATCATTATCAAAATAGAATATGAATGTTGTATACAGTGGCGTGCAGTGCAAATCAAAGCAAGGGATGCAACCATTGTCGAAATAATAAAATAAAGGTTACATAAGTAATTAAGTAATCAATATAATTCTTTTTTACCCTAAATTGGTGGAAACATTTTCACATTTGGCATCACTGCGCAGGACAGCGCTCGATGCCGACCTTTGAATAAGCAGACTAAGAAAGGAGCATATCAAAAATCTTAGGTCCACCGCGATGGGCCTCAAATATGGCCGACTTAAATTCCGGTTTATCAGTGCCGTTCTAATTTTATTTAAAAAATGTAAAACTATGATGTAGGGTAGACGTGGGGTGGACTCAATATTTTTTTTTTATTTTACGTTGTGAATAAATGTTGGTAGTTATTAAAATTGTTATAAAAATATAAAATTCTAATAATAATAGATAAGTTATAATAATTATTTATAACCATAAACATAAACATAGATACGCTACTGAAGCAGGTAAGTCAAATTGACGTATCTAAATTCTTTGACATCTAATCTTTGACAAGTAGTAAATAAAAGCAAAAATGCAAGAAAAAATATAATAATTAGTTAATTTAAGTGAATTTCATAAATGATCAGTTTACTACACGTATGTATATTATATCTGCCGTCCTAACGAAAAACGCAGTAACTCGAAAAAGTAAGTTTTGGGGAAAATAGGTTTTACTGTTTGTTCACTGTTTGTTGCTTTTTTATAAGACTTTTTGAAAAATTTGAATAGAGTTGGAAAATATAGATTATTTTTGACTTTTTTGAATATTTTTTGTGCATATATAGTCATTTTGACTAATAATAATTTACGATAATGCATTTTAGCCTAGCATCGTAACCACCATAACTTCATAATTACTAGTAAGAAATGCAGTAAGTACCGCATTGTTGCCATTTTACTGCATTTATCACTAGTATTCTTTGATATGCCGCCGTACTAATATATGAAAAGAGGACCTAACTTTACGTATTAATTTTGCGAAACCATACCCCAATAATATTTATTTTAAGTAATAAGCTGATTTTTTGGTACCTATAATAACGAAAAATATAATTTTTGGGCAAAAGGGACAGGTTTAATAAAAAATGTAGCCATTGAATTGGGAGTGTTTATTTGAAAATCTATACATTAAATACATAGTTAAAAACAAGGGTGAAATTGGACTCCCTAAGCGAACCGTGACAACCAAATTTTTTTAAACAATAACATAATTGAATAAAATACAGGTAAGTATAAGTATAGAAAAATATATAAAAATACTTTCAAAAAACTATTCAAAGGAACTATTTAAATCATTGACATTGTCATCAACGTCAATGTTATACCAAAACTGCCGCCTCCCTTCTGCCATGAGGGGGCACAATTTATTAATTATGCCCTCTTTCTTATTTTTATTAATGCCCCTGGCTTTAGTGCAAGGCAGTGGTTTTGGGATCCCATCTCGTTCTGGTTTAGCCTTTAAAAATGATAAAGTTTTAGGATCTTCTAAATTATAATTATCGAAGTAAGTTAAATATTGTTTGCCTCGTTCCGCCAAGATCATAGTTATATCTGTCATGTATGGACGAGGCTGCATTTTTTTAATTTTGACCTGGGAGGTCTGATCAATCCAGTTAAAGAAATTATTAATTCTCATTTCAAGAACCGTGACTTTTCCGGAATTAGCCGCCTGTACTGCATCACTAAAGTCTTTAAAGTCGCTTAAGGTGCCCTTATACTTCATCGACAGTTCTACCTGGTGATGAAAACTGTCGGCACTCATGTAAGTATGCCCTGGTTCGAAATATTTTACCCATATTTTTTCTGCTTGTATTTCTGAACTGTTTATTATATATACAAGAAAAGAAAAAAATGTCCAATTTTTATTTTGGGCTGAACAGTTGTCCAGCCACAATGTAATGATTCTGCTGTCACGGTTTTCCAGAAAAAAGGAGTAGAATGTGCTAATGATATCTTCTTTTTTCCGGCCAGCAATACCCTCATGCCAAATGCAAGCTATGGGTTTTAAGCCACATTTCTTTCCAACTGGTACAAAGGACTCATTGAAAACAATAATTCGCGGGGTAAATAGAGCAATTTTATATTGATCTAACCTTGGAAGCATAATAACCTTTTGCAAATCTGCGGAATAGCAGACCTCCAAATTGTTATTATGATCCATTTTGGCATCGTTCCTATACATATTTCTGGATTCCTCCGCTTTTTTTATGTGTTTGGTATAGGTCTTACAGATGTCACAATCAGGATCAATATTTTCTTTTGAGTGGCAATGGTTTTCAAATATTGCACAACATTCACACTCCTCATGTCCCAGTTTAGTGAACGAAATATTTTTAGCCTTTACGGCTACTCTATACAACTCGTAGGAACAATAAAAGGTAGGGTGTTTAGTTAAAAAGTCTTTATACATTAACGTAATCGACACATCACTTGGTAGATACCTTTTATTTGGAGCATGCTCCCTTCGATAATGGGACACTGATGGGTGAAAGCTCTCAATATGTGCTTCTATAACATCCTTATTAAATTTTCTTGTTTTAGGATATTTTCCTAAAACAAAAATAAATAATTTAGTAAATGCATATGATTATTTTCCTTGTAAATACCTCTCATGTCAGAAGAAACAGATATGTGATTGTCACTTTTGCTGATAGCTTGTAAAATAAATCTATCATTTTTTTCGTGGTAGCCTAAAGTGGTTAAAAAAAACGTTTTACAAATTTTGATTCTTCTCCCAGTTTCATCCTGAAAATAATATGTAATGCTGCGGCACCTTTTGGAGTTTTCAGTATTATTTAGCTCAGTTTGCTCTGTATTGCTTAGGATAAATTTTTTTCTGTCTGTAAAATTCAGTGATTGATAGTTTTTATTTAGTTCAATCCTCCTATTTTCTGGAATATGAAGGTTGCATTTTTTTGGACAATTTTTACATGGGGGTTTTAAATTAAACTTTTCTTTTGCTTTTTCTTTTTTTTGTTTTAAACGTTCTTTTAAAGAAATGTTGTATTTTTTTCTCTTACGTATTTCACCCTTCTTAGTAAGAGTAGGATTTTCGTTAGTACCTGGTGGGTCTCTTTCTAATTGAGGATTTTCAGTTCTTGGGGGAATAATCTGAATATCGTGAATAACAATTTTTGAAGAATTTTCAGGAGATATTTGCGGGGGCTCATTTTCTAAATTATTTAAAACACTTTCGTCAAAAATACTGCTTCTAAATGAAAACTCTAATAAACCCTCATCGGCCTTTAGGTCATCAGTCAAAATAAAATCATTGATGGCGCTAATATCTATTTCTTTATCACTAGGTATTATTGGATGCTCATGAGAAACATTTTCTGCAAAAAGTACACAACTTAATACTATTACCCTTATTTAATTATTAAAAAAAGTTGTAAAACTTACCATCTACGGGTCCTAATGGTGTGTGATTCCTATCCTTTAATTTCAAATCAGTTTCAATAAAATCAGATGTTTGATCTAAAAATAGTTAATAAAACGCATTTTCTTAAGTTACAAAAAACTGAACCGCCATAAATTTAGTTAGATAAAGACACACCTTTATTATTAGTGGTTAAAGGTGGAATAGTATCGTCAGCAACTTGATGGAAAATTTCATCTTTATCATATCGATTATTATCAACAACTTTGTCATTAATTTTTTCTTCACAAGTTACACTACTAGAGTTATCATTAAGGAATAATGCCACATTTTCCTTATTGGCCAAATTTATTTCGGGGTAGTTGTAGGATAGTTCGGCTTTTTGAAAGTCTAATTTCGCTTGTTTTCCTGTAAAAATATCATTAAAATACGAGTTACTAACTACCAAAACCTTGACTAACCACCACCAGTTACACCACCAACACCACTTTTTTTACCAGATTCACTACGGATATTCTCCATAGATTCACCTGTTTTTCGTTTACATGCAATGGACATTAATAATTTAGTTCTTGAACTTATCTAAAAATACAGTTAAAACATTTATTCAGTATTTAAACAATATTAAAAAAACCAGCTCAGCGCCTGGGACTTTTGGGAGATACAGAGAGTAAAGTAAAAAGAAAAAATTAAAAATCAAAAACTAGACCGAAATTTTTGGGCTATGTTAATGATGATAGCTTCAAATAAGGCGAAACATTTTTATAAATTTTCTTATTAATACTTGCTCCTAAATACACAGGGTGTTAATTAAGTATGTACCATGAAAGGGTTTTCTACTACCGTGTGTAAAGTACTCACTTTACGCACTAAAAACAGTGTATAAAGTAGCACTTTTTCGCACTAGTGCATAAAATAAGTATTTTACACACTAGTGCGTAAAGCAGTCTGCCAAAAAATTGCATCAGCAAAAATTTGACACCTGACGCACTGGTTTTTAGTTCGTTACTTTACGCACTTACTAGTGTGTAAAGTAAATTTACTTTACGCCACTACGGTGTAAAGTTAACGACTTATTTTCTTTATTTAATGAATTTTCGGGAAAAAATTGAGGGTATAAGAAAAAATATTGTATGAAACACGTGTGGAAAGTTCTTTTTTTAAAATGAAAAACAATCCCATTCGTAAAAAAAGTATCACTTAACACAATTGATACATAAATAACGATTTTATATTTTTAACGAATTAAAATGTAGTTTTTCTTTTAAAACTCTGAAAACCTAGCATGTTTATAGGATTTTTTTTCGTAAAATATTTTTTAAAAAATCGTCTGGTAAATTTATTGCACGTACCTAACTAACGGCCGTAAATTTTCTACTAATAAATTGAAATAAATCCACAGACTTACCTTGCTATCCATTATGACGACAAAACCACAAAAACACACAATTTTTAATTATATTTTTTACTATTTGATAACCCGGTAATAATATTATATTATTTATAATACTAAATTAATAATTATTATTTAAACACCTTCGCACCTTCGCATCAGCTAAAAGCTCAAATCGATCTGTTCATTCTTACAATAAATATGCTGTTTCAGTGTATTTTCTGTCCTTTATACATTAATAAGTTTAAACAGAGACAGAAATACGATTCATCAACAGTAATCTTGCAAATGAAATAGGTTAGAAAACCGTTAAAGCTTACGCGGGAAAAGTTACTGCACTTTTCCTTAGCAAAGTGTGACGTATCGCGTCACTAATACAAGGGTATAGGCGTAAGTTATTTGTGAATACTGCATTGTGATTGGATAATCCATCGTACTGCGTTTTTTGTTAGTAATAGATGATGTTTTTGACTCCTTGTACATGTATAAATTATAGCAAAGTTTGTTGTACTGCGTTATTCATTAGGATTTCTAAGTTACTGCAGTTTACCTTAAAATAAAGTGATTTTTTTAATGGAGATCCAAAGCAGTTACACAGTATATTTTTAAATACTGCATTTCTCGCTAGGATAAGTGCTTACTGCGTTTTTAACTAGTAATATGATGCTTTAAGCGAGTTACTGCAAACTTTTTTTTCAAATTTTGAAAAAACCAAATTTTTTTTGGAAAAACTGAGTTGGTAGAAAGATAGAGAATATGTTCAAGAATACGAATTCACCAAAATCTCAAAATCGAAAAAAATCGAGTTACTGCGTTCTTCATTAGGACGGCAGATATAGTCACATACTAGCGAAAAGTTGTTCCATTATTTCACTCGATTTTTGCCGAGATCTACCGCACGCTACACAACCAACTATTTTAGAGTCTTTTTCGATAAATCGCGATAGTGTCACTGTTAATTTAAGTTCTGCCACAATTTCCATCTAGATTTACTACTTTTATACAACTATCAGTAGTAGAATAAATAATAAATAACATAAAATTAGCTCTGTAAAAACTGACAAATCCACAAAATTTCAAATCAAATTCAAATGTGTCAAATGAATCGTCAAACAGAACTGTCAAGGATCCCCACCCTAGAGTGTTTTTTCCGCCCACCATGCATGAATACATGGATAGCATTATGCTCCTTCCTTAGTCTTCTTATTCAAAGATGCCGACGAAATTAAATTACGCATTTCTTCCTTAAGCTATGTTTATTTATGTAATCTCCAGAATAAAATTAAAATAAAAAATGCTTATTGAGAATATCTGTTGGCTTAGTAATGAGTTATAATGTAATGAAAAAAAGGTATAAAGTGTAGGCAACGCCTTTTTGGCTACATTATATGCACGCCACTGGTTGTCTGTCTTGTTTTTTTTATGTAACCCAAAGTCTAAATCACATTGCTCACTAAATTCTCACCTCTAGTTGCTCGTTCTGGATCGTCAGGCCAAGAACATCGTTTTATAGCACCAAGAACCAAATTTACACAAAAAAATAAATTGCTTCTGTTCTGACCGCAGATATTGTCCGTGTTTGTTGGAACAGCAGGTTTATTCAGACCTAAAAAAATGTATTTCACAAGGTAATAAATTATAAGAATCTTGTCTATTAATAATAACCAAATTTAACATTAATTCAAAACAAAACACGTATGTTTTCACGTATGTTTTGGTGTAAAAACAAATACATCAAAACTGCGTTATGATTTTAATCATTTGCTGAGTCTCAATGTGAGTTTAACTACCTAATATTGAAACTTACCTATAAAAGAAATAAATTCAGCAGCTCCTTTCAGAGCACCCGAATTAACTATTGCTAAAAATTGTGCGTTTGCTTCGTGTACAATCTCGCCAGCGAAAGTACTTTGCCTCTCATAGTCACCTAAAATAGCACAAAATTAAAAATAACCCCACAAATGAAACTGCAAAAACCACCCACCAAAATGATTTGATATTAACAAAAGCGCTTCCAACAAAGTCACTTTCTCCAAAGTACTCAAATTTGCTGAACCATCTGGCCTAGACAAGTTCTCAACAGTCGCTCTGATCTGGTCAAAAACTGGCAAAAGCAGCAACGGATATTTATTCCCTAATAATATTGAAAAAAATGTGTTAAAAACACAGTTGGACGTTTTAGACAGATTTGGATGTTACCAATTTTAACCATCAAAGAGGCTGCATGACGTCTGACGTTTTTCAAGGCTCTGGATCGACCGTCTTTGGATTGGCCGTCCGGTACATAGACTAATGTAGAGAATATTTTCTCCAGTACTTGTGGTAAGAGGGCTGCGCCCGATACAGCAACAGAATTTACTAGAAAAAGTAGGAACGAAAAGTAGGAAAGAGTAAGAACACAAATTTTATTAATCTAAACCATGACACGTGTTTCGCTCATACGAGCATCCAGTGGCGGTTCGTGGGTATAAAATTAGGTGAAGAGTTAATTTTTTAAATTGCGAAATTTTTTTGGCGCATTCACCATTTTGTCAACATTTTTTAAAATATTACTTGAAAATTTTTTGCTGCATTCACCATTTTGTCAACATTTTTTTTGTTATTATTTGTACACTAATATCTATAATATTTTCGTTTTAGTTTGGACTAAAACACATTAAGTAAAAAGAAATACAACCAGTTTTCGATAAACACATTATGTTGCATTTCCGTGAAAATATAATTAAATTTAAATTAAATATAATAAACATTATATACAGTGTCCCCCATAAAGTTGGATCCATATGGACGTTTTTTTTATATTAGAAAGTTTAAAATTTTTTGTGGTAATCACTTTCAGCTTTTGAAACAACTTAAAATGCACCAAGTCAAAGCTGACAGCTAACATCTGGGAGCTGTCAAATACAAAAATATTTAAAAAGAAATTTTTTAAAATTATACAAATTATGCCTTCAAAAAAGGTCACTAACAAAATTATGTGTCACCTTTGACTTGGTGCATTTTAAGTTGTTTTTAAAGCAGAATTGATTGCCACAAAAAGTTTTTTTTAAATTTTAATACCAAAAAAAAACGTCCATATGGATCTAACTTTATGGCGAATACTGTATTTATTGAAGGGCTTCCACGGAAAACGTTGTAACCGACATTTTTTTCAAAATAGAGAATTCAGTGAAAAAAGGTTGTAATTTTCATAGGTAAGTATAGCGTTTTTTCCTCGGTTTTTTCACTGAAATTGCGATATTGAAAAAATTGTTGGTTACAGCAGAGGAGACATTCAATTATTATTCAATTATTACATTAATAATTATTATATTAATGTTTACTAAGCAATATATTAACCAAAATAAATTTGACTTATTTATATTACTAAGCTTACTAATTTTTAGTTTGTTTAGAAACTTTTTTATCTCTTGTGTTTTTTTGATAAAACTCACCGATTTGAAATTAAAAAATAAAATGTAAAGTATTACATGTCAGGACAAAAAACATTTTTATTTTTTTAACGATATTATTTTGTACTTTCATGAATTAAAATACAGAATTAAAAATTGTCTTGGTAAATAATTTTTAAGAGGTTATCGTTCAGAAGAAAAGGTAACGATATTATTACGAAATAAAACTGTTTGACAGCAGCCCACTAGATTCTTAATCTAAAAATGTTTTTGTCCTGACATGTAATGCTTTACATTTTATTTTTTAATTTCAAATCGGTGAGTTTTATCAAAAAAACACAAGAGATAAAAAAGTTTCTAAACAAACTAAACTATCCAAATTAATTTTTTTGCATGTGTTTGATAAGAGTTTTCTTTAAATTTCGTTAATAAGTATGATAGGGGTAGTTTATTTCACCCCTTCCACTCATTTTAAAAAAGTGAGAAAATTACCAGAGAGTGTGTTTTCATAACAGTAATGCTTCCATAAAATGTCACTAGTCTATCTCTTTTCGTTTCCAAGATAAAAAACAAAAACATTATTTTTCCGCCATCTTTGTACTGCGATATCTCTCTAATGGTTGACTTTTGACCCAACGTTTATGAAGCAAACTACCCTTTATTTTGAACAAGGAATCACCCCCTAAAGTTTTTCGCATTTGTTTTGAAACACCCTGTATAATTAGTGTTAATTTTTGACAGTTTTGTGTCAATTTTTATTAAATTCCGTCTAGAGATTGACCTCGCCAAAATCATCATGGATTATCATTTCCCAGCCGCCTTTGACGCCGTTTTTTTTTTTCGATCATACGGAATTAGTAGTTCCTTTCAAAAACAATAATATTTCGTTGAATGACTTACCAGCTGGAGCCATCTGACCAGTGGACATACTAAGGAACACAAATAAGGCAGAGATACATGTCAACAATGTTGACATAATCAATGGATCAGTAGGTTGATATGTTAGGCACATCTGTAACAAATGCAGTCCAGCAGGTATAGGCGGTCTTTCGTGAGCTTGTAGTACCCTAAACAAATTTTAATAAAATTATGAGTGTATCCAGAATGAAGCACAAGGTATTTATCAAGTACCTGCTAAGTACACTCTCCAAAAAATTCGCTAGGGCTTCCCATTCTTGGAAAAATGGATCAGTTTGAGAGAGACCATAAGATGTGTTGGGAACTGATAAACATTTTATCAGCCACTGCTCTACGTAATTGAATGTTATTAGTGGTGCAACCAAGGTTGCAGCTCTAAAAATACAGTCAGTACTAATTAATGATATGTTAATATGTCTTAAGAATATAGTGAGACATTCAATGACAAACAATTCAATTCATATGAAAATGAGACTAAATTTAAAAATTTTGCAATTCTAACGTTTGACAATATTTCAGAGACAAAGAACAGAGAAATTAAATAGAAAGAATATCAAAATTGTATGGAAAAAACCGCAGAAAGACCTCTTATAGTCCAAGAAAATAGGCCTTTAAATAAGTTTTGGTAAAAACTTGAATTTTTGATATATATATTTTGAAAAATCTAAAAACGAATTGCATTTTTTTTTTAATTTACCCCGAGAAGGGGTGTAAAATATAAAGTGTTTTTTTTTCAAATTTCAGAAAAAGAATAAGCACTTTGAAAAAAATGTTTCAATAAGAGTTCTCCCCTAGCTTCTAGCCACCCTATCTCGGTTAATTTTGATTTGAGCAAAAAAAGTATAAGACCATTTTTATGTAAAATTGGATGCTCTACAACTTTTATTTGGATTTTTTTTCTAGTCCTTACCGTTTCTCCGAAATTTCAAAAAAATAATTTTATTTATTTATTTCACCCCTTCTCGGGGGTGAATTTAAAAAAATCATTTTGAAAAGATTTTATTTCATTCATCTACTAAAGTTGAACCCATATTTTCCCCCAAAAAATGTAAACAAAAAACAAAATTTAAGTTAAGAAACAACCTAAATTCGGACAAATATTTTAGTGATTTTCCCGTCAAAAAAATATATTAATATGAAAAAGAGTTGAGAGTTGCTACAGCTTCCCATTGAAATGAAATTAATTTTAGATATCACTGATCAAAATTTGTACAAAGGTAAAAAGTGACTGCTACACTAATTTGTGACTGCTATCCCTACTTGTTATAGTTTTATATGTTTTTATTAATATATTAATATTATTTAATTCAATATTTTTTTTAATATTAAATAATATACCTAGCTATTTCTAATTCTTGTTATATTTATTATATTTGTATTTTATTTGAGTGATCTATTATTACGACACATAGGAATGCTAATTTTGGACTTAAATATTATATTTTATTTCGTTTCTGTACTTTTAATTTTTGTTGAAGATCTACCGAGAATTTTGTTCTCGTATGGAATTATAATCTAACAAACCCGGCAACCCTGTTCGTCTACTCCTTATAAAGTTTTTTTCGGCCTAATTCCTTTGTCACAGCCGCGGCTTTGTGAAGCGCCGCCGCCGACCGACTGTGTCGGGGCGACTGCTAGGAAGATCGTACAGTATTGCCATTTCATAGAATTGCACTTGCTATTTTAGAAATGATATCAAAGTTTTGCATGTTACTTTTCGTTTTAGAAAGAAGTTATGTGCCTAGAGAAAACATTCGTAAAATTGTTTCGTACTTTATTTAATATTTCATTAAGTAGGCAAGATAATGGGATTAGAAGATTTAGGATTTTGACAAGCCAACATAATTTCGATTTAATTGAATGGCAACACTGTCCGTCCTGTTTCTATTTTTTCGATTCTGTTCTATTAGTAGGCGGTAGCCCCCACACAAGCGTCTTAAGATCTGCCCGGCGCCCCTCTCGCAGGGGCTCTCTCGTCGTATCACTTCTATGATCACTTCCCCACACGATGGTAGGAAAACATCTCTTTATCCGTCTCTGTTGCACTGCAGTGTATTTTGCAGCCTTACCATCTTTTTTTATCGCATTGAAAACCTCCTATTGCTAATATTCCTTTGCCAGTAGTGTATAAGAAAAAAAGCACTACTTACCTAAAAGAATTCAAGAAATCCGAGCGGCACCTATAAAAGAAAGCAGAGAATTCCTCTTCACTGTCAAAATCTATCTTGGCGTACGCCACTGTCTCGCTCAATTCGCTTCCTACAGGATGTTTTTCTTGCGAATAATTGAATTTGACTATTTTAGGCGCGGTACATTGTACCCATTGAGGAATGCAAGACAAAAACATCGGATCTCTCACAATCTAAAAATAAAAAAAAATGCAAAATATGTACAACCTTTAATAAAAAAAAACGGCATAGCAGCCTTTCAAATGACAATCAAGGATATTATAATCACAATAAAGAATGTATGTTGGGAAGAAAGGATAATGTAATTCTTCGGTCTATCTTTTTTTTGATGTTTTATTATTTTTTCAGGGGTTTTTACATTTTTTACACATATTTTCTGATTCATCATAGCAAAATCTCACACTACTGAGTGAGCAATACTTCATGTGTTCATGTTTTAACATGCTGTTCCACAGAGGATTGGCTGCATGAGCCAAACACAAACTGGGATGATTGCTGTAAGCCAAAATGGCCTCTAAAAACATGTTAAAATTCACTGGTCTATATGTCGGATCCTTAGACCATAATGTGCATAGCTGAATTGTCAATCCACCAAGAACCTATATTAAAATTAATGATTTATGTTTAATTAGTAAAATATACCGACAGGGTGTTCCTTAACGAGTTAAAGATATTTAAGGGGTTGATTCTTGGAACCGTTCTAAGAAAAAAACTTCAATATTCAAGACATACATACACTCATATAAAGATTTTTTTAGAATAGGTCTATGAATCAACCCCTTCAATCTTAAATATTAGCATGCCATTAAGGAACACCCTGTATTTATACACTTCTAGAATAACTATTGATGATGAAATCTAATTATTGTAAGAATTATTTAAATATAGCGCCAAAAACTAGGTTGACAACTCCTTCCTGTAAGCATAGAATTATGGGTAGTTTGTTGTTATGGTGTTGTTAGTTGTTATGTATTGAGAAATAAACAAAATTGGAGAATAAAGTATAAAAATTACTTGGTCATTTTTATTGTAAATACAATAAAAATTAAGGCTCCCCCTTTTATATTGTAAAGTTATACAAATGACATTGACATAGTAACTATACCTGTAACAGTTTTTTCTTGAATAAATAGAATTGCTCATCCAGAATGCTTCCCGGATTCTTTGCTACTGTTAATAAACACTGCATGGTCTCAGTGTTTAATAACATCATAAGTGGTTTTCTTTCCTCAATTTTGCCTTTCCGACTAACAATCTAAACACATAAAAATATACATTTACTTAGCTACAGTTTTGGTACAATTACAAACATAATTTAAAAGAAAAAAATCTTACCTGAGCCAAACATTCTGCAGCTGAGTATTGAAATGCAATATCATTCAATAACAAACACAGTATCTGTAACAATCTTCCATTTTGTGCCATAATATGTGTCATAGAAACCCATTCCACAAAACCTACAAAAAATTAACTCAAATAACTAGATACTTACCCATTTTGTTCAATAACTTACCTGTTAAGGTCAACAGAACAACATGCACAACTCTACTATGAGCGATAGCCTTATTACTATTCGTCTCTGAACAACTCCTCAACTGACTCACATGCAACTCAATGAGTCTTAGAAAGAACTCAAAGATCAAGGACATATTTGCTGTTAAAGCGTGGTATATATCCTTCCGCCTTTGATTTGATTCTAATGTCTATAAAAATAAGGAAATAGATAAATAACATTACATTAATAATATTTAAAAGTCTTTTACCTGCAATAGGGCTACATCTTCAACTAAACGCAAGAAAACAAACAAAACTAATTCAGTCTGGACTTCCCCACAACCACAGGCATCAGAAAGTTCGTTTAAAAGTCCAGGCCACTGCTGGGGCCATTCTCGCTTAACCATTTCAACAATTACACGACTAAGAGCATCTTTCATATGTGGTTCATCACTTATACCACCAGCAGCAAGCAGTTTCATTGCATTTTCCTAGAGCAATTCAAAATTAATAATTACTTAATAGAAAATGAGCAACGTACCTTAATAAAGATTTTCTCTTGTTGACTAATTTGTGTCCATCTGTACTTAACAGTATGTTCCATTAATTGTAATCCAAAGTGTCTTGAAATAAGGGAATGTTGCGTAGCTGCAGCCAGGAACAAGCCAGCTTCAGCACATAAAGGAGATGTCTCCTTGAAACTCTCACAAGCTTGATAGGCTTTTAAACGGTCAGCTTGTGAGGCATTAGGACTCAAGGTAAGTTCCACAGCCTTTGCTAAATCTGCTGCTAACGCTGCAACGTCGGTACCAGCCATTTTTCCTATTTTTTATTAAACAATAGATCCTAAAAAAATCAAAACATTACATTGTCACATGGCAGTAACAGCATGGTTAATTTAATTGTTTTGGTATACTGAAAAAGTGTTGTGATAATTGAAATAATAGATATTAAGGGCCTCACTTTGTTTTTATAAAATACCATATCACTTACAGATATTAAATTATTCAATGCATAATATTCAACAATATTTGGAAAATTTTAACAATTTGGATATCATCTATCAAGTTTGACGGTTGCCGGCTGCAACAACGATCCTGGTGGAAGAAATGTCAAACGTAAAATTTGTAACCTCCTTGATTTTATTTGTTTATTGTTTAATTACTAGTTGCATAACTAAAAAATTAATATTATCATTTTTTATTGCATTTATTTAAAATATTATTTATTGTGAAAATATTTAATTTTTTTTTGGACTGCTTTTATTTATTTTTAATTAAATTAGATCAGTATAATCAATGCTTCATAATTTTATCGATTCTTTGTATTTAATTTTATTTATTTTTTGTTCTGTAAAGAAATAATTGTTTAATCCTAGAATAATGTAATGTAATTTATGGTATTTATTTTTACAAATAATATGTCTTTTATATTTTATAAAATTATTTTTGTAAAAAGAAACATATTGATGTTAATTATTCCTAATTTATGTAACGATTATTTTTCCCGCTAATCAAACAAAACGCTTGCCTGTGTTCCAGTGAGAAAATTTTATTGGTAGGAAAAAGAAACGAACGAATACAGCCGAAGTGTTTTAATTGGTCGATTTTTTGCGGCAAGTTTAAATTCGGCCAATGGCCGAGCGTTGTAAACAATTCGCTGTCGGCTCGTAGCTAAAGTGGCGTGGGGCCGCATTTACGAAGCTGTGTGTTCAGTAGATTCGAGGCACTGAAAGGTAAGAAATATTTTATATTTTTGAATGTAGTTATTGTCATTTTACCATTTTCCAAGTAGAATTAGATTTTTTCCAAATTAGTTTATATTCAGTAAACTTTTGTACCGAAAGTGTTTCTATTGCGCGTAAAAGTTATTCTGTAAATCGTCCGTATACTCTCCATATAACTGCTAGCAAATGGCTGCCATAAGAAAAGCATTGAGGTGATAAGACGTAATGTTGTTTATTTTTTTTCGGTGATTTTACGTGTCGGAGGACTGTTATGAATTTTTCTACGTGTTTCTAATTTCCAGTGCTATGTTATATTAAAATTTCACGGCGATATTTCAACGGGAAAGGTGAGAAATAATTAATTTTCTAGTCGGGCTTTGTTCATATGGACGGCTATACACGGCGCATACGACTCCATTTGTACTATGTAGTTTGCCTTATGCTATGCTTTCCTTATGGCATATACTGTAGTGTATAGGGTATATCTGTTATTGAAAATATCACTTTCCCGTGGTATTTTTGATGTGGATTTTGGATTTTACGGTATCCCAGGGATATTTTGCTTTTCTTTACCCATCGCCTAATTGATGACGTGGGCTAAAATGACGCCTTTGTTAATTTTTGGGCGTTTGTTTTAAAAGTTGTTAAAGTTTTAATTTTGCCGCCAAATTTACGCAGATGTTTCGTCCCTAAGATTTTTGCAGCTTACCGGGTTTTGCATACGGGGTTCGTATGCGTTTATTATCGAACTATTTGCTCGGTTTTTCTTAGAAATCGTTTAAATTGCCATATTTGGGTCGTTTTAGGCGGTATCCATGTTGGCGTCACGTACGCTGGCCTAGGGTGGTTGGTATATTTTTTTCATTTGTTTTAATTATGTCAAATTATATTTGAACGATTAATTACTAACTGTATTACAAAGGTGAGTGATTTATATTTATTTAAATTGTTTTTAACGGATTTATATGGTGTTTTGGGGGTCTGATGAAATATTGGCGCCAAAATTTAACCGTTATTTGTCCAATAAAAAAGAATCATTTTACCAGTATATTCCGGCTAGGTGGTAGGTAGGTAAGTTTATTTTATACGCGCAATTTTTGATTGATTAAAATTATGCTTAACTTTGTACCATTAGGTTTGAGATTGGGTAATGTGATAAAAGTGTGTTGCTATTATGAATTTATTATTATCGTTGATGTTTGCAAGCTATTAAACGCCATTTCACAGCGTAATAAAACAAGGAGATTGATATATTTTTATACAAACCTATTTGAAATGATGAAACGTGTATTGAACAATTGAAAGATTTTAAGACATAACTGTTTTTCTATCTAGTTTATAATTTTGCGAAGTAAGTAGGTTTTGTCCAATTATTTTGTTTGTTTTTCTAAATCCATATCAGAAGTTGCTTAATTAATTTGATGTTAATTAATTGATATATTGATATTTTCTGTGTGTATTAAGTTATTCTATATTAATATTATTACGGGGTCGTGGAACTATAACGGGCATATTTATCTAGATTATTTTGGATGCAATCTTGATTTTAATTAATTTATTTTTTATTAGTTTGTTTCTGTGTCGATCAATCAAAATAAGTTATTAAATATGATTGAAAACGATTACAATGTAGGGAATAAGTTAGTAACTACTAATGATAGTCTAGATTGCCATATTATTCTTTATATTTATATTTATTCGGATTCTAGGCATTTTAAAGTATTATGTTTATTTTTAGTTTGTATCAAAATTTTAAGAGTATTTTGACATCGATTTTTAAAATCTTATTTCAGTATGCTGTTTTTTAGCACAGAAAGTCAGTAATAGAAATATATTAATGTATGTAATTGTTACTAAAAATAATAGAATACCTACTTCGTTTTGTTTTAAATAATAAGAATTTTAATCAGAATTAATAGTATTTATTGAGAACTAGCTACTTGCCCGAAGTTAACCGTTTATTAGGGGCCAAATGATAGTCATAAATTCTAAATTATGCAGGTCTCATAAAATGTTATAAAAATTCATGTTTAATAGCATTCTAAAATGAATTTGTTCATAGAACTTAGGTACCTACGCTTTATTTACTGCAATTATTGTAATAAAATATCTTGGAGCATGCTTCTATCTTCATGTCTTAAACAATTTAATACTCAGAATTGGTGTCCAATAGAATTTGAATTTTTTTTGTTCGATATTGAAATTTTGCACCAAAAATGTCATACGATCGAAAAAACGGCGTCAAAGACGGCTGAGAAATGACGATTGATGATAATTTTGACGCGGTCAATCTCGGGACATGATAACTAAATATTGACATAAAACTTGTCAAAATTAATACTAATTATAGAGAGCTTAATGCTCGGCCCGAACTGTTCTTTATTTTTTGTCTTTTAGAAGGTTGTAATTTATTTACCTATATACAGGGTGTCCCAGAAATAAGTGCAAGTATTTTAAGCGGTGGTAGATCTCGATAAAAGAAACATGTTCTCTCTTTATCGTTTTTCAAATAAGTCCAAAATAACGGAGTTATTTTACTTTGAAAATTTCAAAAAAAATTTGACAACCACTGGATCTTTTCTGGATTTTCTTGTAAATTTAATCTAATACCTATGTTGCCATATTATCTAGAAATTATGTTTTTTAACTAAAAACTAAAAAAAAATTCGAAATTTCATTTTTTTTTTCGCGAAGGAAACCTCATGGGCGTGTTTCTGGGGTTGAACTATACTACCAGTCAAAAAAACTTGCACTTATTTCTGGGACACCCTGTATTGAGTAAAAATGATTTTTAAATGATAAAATTCCAGAAAAAAAAACTTTTTTTGGAACTGGATTTGTATGTCTAGAAACGGTTCTATTCTTTTTTAATCTTCTAGAGATTAACCTGGCCAAAATTGTTTCCGATTGTCATTCCCCAGCCGTCTGTGACGCCGTTTTTATTCGATCATACGGTACAGTTTCTTTTTCCATTATTTTCAACATACAGTGTGCCCCAAGAAATTGGCGACAAATTAAAAAAAAGGTTTGTTAGTTTTTAACAAGAAGTTTTTGTGATATGTAGTTTCTTCAGCATTGCTAACAGTGGAAATAGATCATTAAGCATACAGTGATGGACATAAGTATGGAAATATTTTTTTTTTCTAAAATATTTTGTATAACTTTCTTTTTAAACTAATTTTAAATATATTAAATGAAACAACGTTTTGTAGTTTATGGATATTCAGTTTTAATTTTCAAAAATAATTTCTTATTTTTCTTTTACTAAAAACCATAAAAATTACTGTGGACAAAAGTATGGAAAGATAATTTTATAAAGAAACAAATCCTAAAATCTAATATTTAGTTGCGTAACCTTTGGCCTGAAGGACTGCTTTACATCTTCTTGGCATGGAATCTACAAGGTTTTGACAAATTTCCAAAGGAATGTTCTGCCATTCATCTTGGAGTATCTCCCACAAATCTGTCGCATTGTAAATAGCCCTTAATCGAATTTTCTTTCTAAAAGCTCCCAAAGGTGTTCAATTGGGTTTAAGTCTGGCGACTGAGAAGGCCATTCCAAAACATCCACGTTTGCCTCCAAAAACCATTTTTTACCAATCGTGAGGCGTGTTTGGGATCATTGTCCTGCTGGAATCTCTATATTAGGGGCATCTCTTCTTCGGCAAATGGTAACATGGTATTTTGCAGAATGTCCCTTTACATAAAGCGATCCATTTTTCCCTCTATCTTTACTAGCGGACCAACCCCAGCTCGAGAAAAGCACCCCCAGATCATAACACTACCACCACCATGCTTTACTGTTGGCTACTGGTACTTTGCATCATATCTTTTACCTACTGGCCTTCTCACAAATGATCTACCATCAAAACCAAATATTTTAAATTTACTCTCATCACTCCAGAGCACTGTGTTCCAATTTTGAGATGTCCAATTTAAATGGTTTTGAGCAAACTGAATTCTGTTTTCCGATTTCTTTTTGAGAGCGAAGGTTTTTTAACGGCCACTCTTCCCAGAAATCCTACCTCACACAAGCGTCGTCCCACGGTGCGATCAGTAACATTGATATTGAAATTGTCACAGATTTCCTCTTTTATTTGCTGGGAAGATTTGTGCGGGTCTGCTAGAGAAATCTTTTTAATGGATTTTTCTATAAAAGGGGTGGTTTTAATCGATTTTGGCCGGTTAGTTGTAGCTCCCAATGTTTGGTACTTTTTTAAAATTTTCGAAACTGCTTCTTCTGAATTCATTAATGATTTGGCAATTGTACACTGTTTAACACCTCTATTTTTTAACTCTATATCTCTGTTGCGTAAGTCCTCAGACAAATACTTAATTTTACCCATTTTTAACAATATGTTGCTT